GTGCCTTAGCCACTTGAGCCACAAGCACCGAGCTGACACTTAAATCCTTTCCACAATTCCCTCCATTCCACTAACTAAAGCAATATTTATATTCTATAGCCTGGCATAGTGCCTGATACATTCTGCTTAATAGATGGTAAATGAATGAATAAATGAATAAACTGGCATACAATCCAAGAAACTTTAAGTGAATCTGTGCCACAAGCTGTCTAAGAGTTTGTTTCGCACCACTATGGTATAGTTGATGATGCTGAGATCGTCTGTTCAGCTAGCTCTCAGGAACAGCACCTTCTTTGCTCCTTTGACTCTCACTGGCTCTTCCTTCAATCCTTGATGTCTTTATTTTTTTTATTATTTTTTTTTTTTTAAAGAGATAGAGTCTCACTAGGTTGCTCTTGGTAGAGTGCTATGGCTTCACAGCTCACAGCAACCTCAAACTCTTGGGCTTACAGGATTGTCTTGCCTCAGCCTCCCAAGTAGCTGGGATTACTGGCGCCCACCACAATGCCTGGGTATTTTTTGGTTGCAGTTGTTTAGCTGGCCCGGGCTGGGTTTGAACGCACCACCCTTGATGTATGTGGTTGGCACCATAACCACTGTGCTACGGGTGCCGAGCCGATCCTAGATGTCTTGATTCATGCTCAAACTCTGTCTGGCTATGTCTTTACAATCCCTAGCATCCATTTCTCCCTCAGTATCCTCAGCCTCATATTGGCCTGAGCTGTACCTGCGTATGGTGTATGAACTCTTAAGCCTCCCTAGCCCTGTACTTCTTCACCCTATTCCACCTTCCCTAGACCTATAGCACCTGACTCCTTCAGTATCCCCACACAAACACAACCCCTCTTCCAACTCCATCCTGTTGATACTGGTCCAGCTGCTCCTGTTGGTCCATGCTGGTGACGAGGTCCACCAATAGCTGGAGACCTTGCATCCAGGTCTGGGCCTCCTTAACACTATTGGCTACCAGGTCCAGGTTGAAGCGGCGGCCATGGAAGACAACAGTGAAGCCCTGGTCTAGAGGGAACTCTTCTGCCAGGCTGCGCAGCAACTCAGATTCTTGGCCCTTACGCACTGTCTCCACATCAGAGATTGAGACTGCCAGGAAAGAAGCAGGTGGAAGCACTAAGGAAAGGAGTCCAACAAATTATAGGGATTATAATTATGGTCAAGAACTAGCATCACCTTCTCCATGAAGCCACAGAAAGAAGGAACCCTAGCTTCTGCAGGAGGGGTTGTGTGTGGGGACACAGACTTCTGGGATTCATGAGTTCATGCAAGTCATTGATGTTTGCATAGGCAGCATGGCAAGACCTGGATTCCAGCCACCAGCTGGCAGTGTGACACAGACCAAAATGACTTACCCTTCAGTGTCCTCATCTTAAATAATGGATAGTTACTTCCATGGCCAGTCACAAGAGGAGTGTTGGAGATGACAAATGGAAATATATTTGAAAGGTGGAAGCAGTTATAACAAAGCATTATATGCTCAAGTTCAGTTCTCCCATTTCAGGTTTTTTTTTTTTTTTTTGAAACAAAGTCCCACCCTATGCCTTGAGCAGAGTACAATAGTGAGCAGTGTCATAGTTCACTGCAGCCTCAGACTCAGGCTATAGGCATCCTGCTGGAATTATAGGTGCTCGCTACAGTGCCTGGCTGGGCTGGGTTTTTCTTTTTCTTTTTTTTCCCACAGTTTTTGGCTGGCGCTGGGTTTGAACCCACCACCTCCGGCATATGAAGCCAGTGCCCTACCCCTTTGAACCACAGGTGTTTTCTCTCCTCCCCTTTTTTTTGAGACAGAGTCTCACCTTGTCACCCTTGGTAGAGTGCCATGGCGTCACAGCTCACACCAACCTCCAGCTCTTGGGCTTAGGTGATTCTCTTTTTCTTTTCTTTTTTTTTTTTTAATTTATTTTTATTTTTATTTTATTATTATTTTTTTTTGCAGTTTTTGGCCAGGGCAGGGCTTGAATCCACCACCTCCAGCATATAGGGCCAGCGCCCTACCCCTTTGGGCCACAGGGCCACCCCCAGGTAACTCTCTTGCTGCAGCCTCCCGAGTAGCTAGGACTACAGGTGCTTTCTTTTTTTTTAAATTTGAAACAAAGTCTCCCTATGTCATCCTAGGTAGAGTGCCATGGTGTCACAGCTCACAGCAACCTCAAACTCTTGGGCTTAAGCTATTCTCTTGCTTTAGCCTCCCAAGTAGCTGGGACTACAGGTGACTGCCACAATGCCCACCTATTTTTTTGTTGCAGTTGTCATTGTTGCATTGTTGGCCGGAGCTGGGTTCGAACCCTCCAGCCACAGTGCATGTGGCCCGTGCTGAGCCTACTGGGCAGGTTTAATCCCCACATATTACAAATGAGGAAATTGAAGCTGAATTTAATTACTTACCTTGTATGTTGCCACTCAACTAGAAACTGGCACAGGAAGGCTTTAATTCAGCCAGGTTGATGCCTGAGATCATGATATAATGATAATAATAATAAGATATAAACTTATGATTTATTGAGACTTACTATGTGCCAGGACTCTTATGAGTCATAAGCAATAAGTAATTTAATCCTCATAACACCTTACAAGGCAAGTGCTATTGTGATCTTTTACAGGCTCAGATATAGCCACAGTGGGACAATACAAGGGCACTATTGTAGAACCCTGGTCTCTCTCCTGCCCTCAGACTGCTGGGCTCCTCAGGCCCTATCCTCCCACGTGTCCATCTACCTGTAGCTATCAAGGTCACTCACAGGTGGGCTTGGCCTTGCTCCTGGCCTGCCGTCCATGCCAGACTGTCATGCCGTCATTCTGAAGTCTGAAGTATCTTGGCTTCTTCCAGGTTTTGGACTTCACCTTGCGCAGCAGCATGCCTTTCTGCATCAGCAGCAGGTTCTCATCAGTGGTCAGCCCTGAGCCAGGAAAAGCAGGTGCTAGGTAGAGGGAGGGTAGAGGGCCCAGGAGAAGCTCTGGAATAGGAGCTGTTGCCCAAGAACTCTTCCCCTGCAGGGGTACTCACGGTCTTGCAGCTGGGATGCCATTACCCACTGTTCCACCAGTTGGTGACAGAGTCACCTGAAGGAGCAAGGAGGAACAAAGAGCTTTGAGTGAATCTTGAAGATCAAGGGAAGAAGAAAAGGAAACTAGTGTTTCCTGAGTGCATATTATATGTCAGGCACTTCATCTACATAATCTGTAGCTATTTTTTTTTGCAGTTTTTGGCCGGGGCTGGGTTTGAACCCACCACCTCCGGCATATGGGGCTGGCACCCTACTCCTTTGAGCCACGGGTGCCACCCCATCTGTAGTTATTTTTACTTTTAATTTTAGTTTTGTGATTCTGAGGCTTACATAGACTAAGGAATCTGCCTCAAATCACATAGGATCTAAATCCTAGCTTACGTAGAGTAAGAAACCTGCCTCAAATCACATAGGATCTGAATTTAAACCCAGATATATCTAATCCCAGAGACATATTGTTTCCCATGATTATCTCCAGAGAGCCCTAAACTTGGACATCTGCCAAACACCCCTTCCTACCAAATACCCCATACCATAACCTTGTGCCACTCTTTGCTTACTCCCAGCCTCTCATTGTTAGGAGCCATCATCTTACTGGCCCCTTTCAGAACCTGGAATGTCTCCACACCTACCCTTCTCTTTTCTAGGTGGAATCATCCCAGCTTCCCTATTCCAGGAACATTTGCCAAGTTCTCATGTGGACTGTCCATCTCCTGAAGGGCTAGAGCAGAGAGTTTCTTTTGTCTCTCCTATAGTTGTTTTCTACCTTCACATGGTATAAAACATATTTTATATTCTTTTTCATAGCAGTTATTCTCACAGTATTAATGGATCAAATAAGTTACATATGTCTCATTTTCAAAAGTTCTTTACCTAGTAAAAAGAGGGTACCTCCTTTAAGATATATGCGGTGTAATTTAGGACTTAGTTAAGTTGTCCTAATAGCTAACAACAAACTTCCCTTGAAAAGAACTGTAAGACTTGATATGTGGATACAGTGATTCTATCTCTTCCCTTATAGATGTACTTTAACTCTTGACTGGTTCAAATTGACAAAACTCATGAAACATAAAGCTCTATGCTATATACACATAAATACCCAATAGAACCCCTACAAGTCAATCACTCAAGGAACTATAAAAAACTGGTCAACTGGGCAGTGCCCGTGGCTCAGAGGAGTAGGGCGCTGGCCCCATTTGCCGGAGGTGGCAGGTTCAAAACCCAGCCCCGGCCAAAAACTGCAAAAAACAAACAAACAAACAAAATGGTCAACATACAGAGGTGGTCAACATAAGGAACTAGGCCTCCTGTACAAATATATACATGTGGTGCATGTCTGGTCTATGAAAATTAGGTTGCTGGGTTTGGTGGCTCATGCCTGTAATCCTAGCACTCTGGGAGGCCGAGGTGAGTGGATTACCAGAGCTCAGGAGTTTGAGACCAGCCTGAGCAAGAGTTAGACCCTGTCTCTAAAAAAATAAATTAGCCAGGTATTGTGGTGGGCGCATGTAGTCCCAGTTACTCTGGAGGCTGAGGCAAGAGGATTGCTTAAACCCAAGAGTTTGAGGTTGCTGTAAGCTATTATACCATGGCACTCTACCAAGGTCGACAAAGTGAGCCTGTGTCTCAAAAAAAAAAAAAAA